ATAGCGACCCCTCCTTGGGTTTCCGAGGCAGTATCACTACGGAAGTAGGATTGCCCAACCTTCCTTCCGAGGAGTGGCTGGTGGGTTTGAACCGCCTGCCTTCTGGTTAGCAGTCAAGTGCCTTAGAGGAACTAAACAATACAATCCACCAACTTGACCTTATAGACATCTACAGAGCACGTCACCCAACAACAGCACAATATACATTCTTTTGTAGCACACATGTAACATTCTCCAGGATAGACCATATGTTAGCCCACAAAACAAGCCTTAATAAATTTAAAAACACTGAAATATTGCAAAGCATCGTCTCAGATCACCATGCTATCAAATTAGAAATCAACAATAGGAAGATCAATGGAAAAAGATCAAACACATGGAAACTGAATAACACCCTCCTTGAAAATGACTGGGTAATAGAAGAAATAAAAAATGAAATAAAAAAATTCCTTGAATCAAACGAGAATAGAAACATAACATACCAAAATTTCTGGGACACAACAAAAGAAGTGATCAGAGGCCAATTTACAGCAATAAACGCACACATCAAAAAAGAAAGAGCCAAATCAACACCTTAACCCAACAACTCCAGCAATTAGAAAAAGAACAGCTAAAAACAAAAGCCTACAGTCACCAGAAGAAAAGAAATAATAAAGATTCAAGCAGAAATAAGTGAAACAGGGAGGTGGGGGGAACTTTATAGAAGCAGAATGCTACATTTTTCTCCATGGGAGTGGCTGGTGGGTTTGAACTGCCAACCTTAGGTTTAGCAGCCAAGTGCTTTAACCACTGTGCCACCCAGACTCCTTTTAACTAGGTTAGATGCTCTGCTAATTACTCTCATTATACTCACTGTATCTGCTATAAAAGGAATTAGGGTCCCTGAGTGGCAAAAATTGTTTGCTCTTGCCTACTGACCAAAAAGTTGGTGGCTGCAATCTACCCAGTGGCACTGGAGAAGGAAGGCCTAGTGATCTGCTTTCATAACATTACAGCCATTGATTAGAACACTAAAATCTACTTCCATAAGATTACAGCACAGTTCTACTCTAACACACATGGGGTTGCAAGTATGAATCAACTCTACAACAACTGGGAGGTAGGGCTCGAAAGGGGAATGGATAAATGTCTCACCAGCAGTATCAAAAGGCAGCTGTAACTGGAACGTAAATCAAAGTGTTCCCTTCCATTCTCTCTCTACATCAATTTATTTTTCCCTTCTATACTTTTATACGGGAGCTCTGGTAGCATAGTGCCTAAGACACTTGCCTGCTAACCAGACGGCTGGCGGTTCAAACCCACCAGTCACTCCTCGGAAGGAAGGTTGGGCAATCCTACTTCCGTAGTGATACTGCCCCAGAAACCCAAGGAGGGGTCGCTATGAGTCGGGTTTGACTCGACGGCACATACCAACAACAACAACATACTTTTATACGGGAGCTCTGGTAGCATAGTACCTAAGGCACTTGACTGCCAACCAGAGGTTGGCAGTTCAAACCCACCAGCCACTCCTCAGAAGGAAGGTTGGGCAATCTATTTCCATAGTGATACTGCCTTAGAAACCCAAGGACGGGTCACTATGGGTCAGGTCAAACTCAACGGCATATAACAACAAAAACAACATACTTTTATACTGTCTACTAGCAGTACTCAGTTATAATAAAGAGAGCAATACTAGAAAACTGAATTTGTTCTCTATTTCATTAATTCATCTCAAAGAATTAAAAGTCTCACCATTATCAGGTGTCTCTACAGACTCCTTTTTAGGCTTTCTCTCATCTTCATCTTCCTCAGGATTTTCACTGGACTTACACCACCGATTTCTTAGAGAAGTCTTTTCTTCACCCACCATTATGTTATCTATGCAAAGAAGATGTAAAAATTTAGAAGTATCTGCTTTAGGAAAATTTCACAGTATCAGTATATTTAGGGGAGGTGAAAAGGGATGAGATACGTATATATATTCATTCTCTTCCTTGTTTTATTTTAATTAGATATTTAAGTATTTCCTGAGTATGAGATTTTAAAATTCCCAAAACTTAGCCCCTGTAAAGCAATTCACTGGTTTCAAAAGACCTTATTTTAAACACTGCCTCTTTTAAAATAAATAAATAAATAAATAACAGCTTTAGATATACACAATTCACCCATTTTAAAATCTACAACTTAATGATTTTTAGTATATTCACAGATATGTGCAGTCTTCATCACAGTCAATTTCCGAATATTTTTATCACCTCTAGAAGAAGGGAACCCTGGTGATGCAGTAATTAAGCAGTTGGCTACTAACTGAAAGGTAGTGGTTCAAACCCACAAACCACTGGCGGGAGAAAGATGTGGCAGCCTGCTTCCATACAGATCACAGCCTTGGAAGCCCTCCCTGTATGGCAATTCTACTCTGTCCTCCACGGTCACTATGAGTCAGAATCTACTCGACAATAATGGGTTTGGTTTTGGAGTTTATTGTTGGCTCAAGAAGAAACTCCCTACCTTTTAGCTATCACCTCGTCTAGCCCACTAGCTCTAAACACCTCTCATCTACTTTCTATCAGTATACCAACTGCCAAAGAGTCTTGACTCCTGTGTCAAAACAGAACTGTGCTCATAGGATTTTTCATGGCTGATTTTTCAGAAGTAGATCACCAGGCCTTTTTTCCAAGGTGCCTCTGAATGGGCTCAAACCACTAACTGTTTGGTTAGCAGCTGTTTCTCCTCTGCCCCTTCTTTATCAAGCTAACTCCTATTGACCCTTCAAAATAAGAAGGTTCATCATAATAACAGCAGCAGCAACAATATTAACAACAGCTTTTATCTATGAGCACCTATTATGTACCTACCAGGTACTGTGCTGCTAATCCCTTTACATTTTCTTAATCTTTACAACTCTAGAAAATAGGCATTACTCTCATTTTAAAGATCAGAAAAATATAGTTTAGGGAAGGTGATTTATCTTGCCCCAAAGCATAAAGTTCTTCAACAGTAGAACTGGGATTCAAAACCAGGCTAGCCTGATTCCACAGTCCACCCTCTAATCACTAGGTTGGAAGGTATGTACAAACTACTTCAAGTATTTCTGTAACTCAAACAGATAATTATATATTTATTACATAAAGAAAGCTATACAGTCTAGCTAAAAGAAGAATATTACTTTGCTATTAGCTGGGATTATATCAACTCAGTGTTTTCTCATGCTATCAGAAGCAGTAATAAAAATGTGGAGAAAAACAAACTTAATAAACCAAGTTTGACAGATAAATGCTGTTGGTTAAAATGCAAAAAATTTAAAAATTAGAATTTAGGTGATAAGGTTGTTGTTGTTGTTGTTATGTGCTGTCGAGTCGGCCCCAACTCATAGCGACCCCTCCTTGGGTTTCTGAGGCAGTATCGCTATGGAAGTAGGATTGCCCAACCTTCCTTCCGAGGAGTGGATGGTGGGTTTGAACCGCCAGCCTTCTGGTTAGCAGTCAAGTGATAAGGTTAGGAATCATCAATTGAGAAAATCATCTTACTTCAAAAGCTAAAACTCAGGTACTGTTTACAAAACTGCCTCCTGAGTTTAATCTACTTATTTTTGAAGTGAGCCAAAAAAGAAATGCTCTTGCTTCTTAATAAAATCTTTATTTCATACTCTATATTTGTTGGTTACCTAGTGCCGCTCTGACAAGAAATATACCACAAATGGGATGGCCTAAAAAACAGGAGTTTTTTCTTACAATTTGGAGGCTTTATTAAGTCCAAGTTCAAAGTGCCAAGTTCTAGGGCCTGGATGAAAGCCCTTCAGCCTTGGGCTTCAGCTCTGCCTCCAGCTCTTGGCCCACTGAAGCTAGAGGCTTTTCTTCACTCAGATAGCTGCTGGCTGCTGAGGCTGAGAAGCCCCAAGGTTGGCAAGTAAAAAGGTACAGTCCCAATGTTACCAAACCACATGGCAGGCCATTAACTTAAGTCCATTTTAAATCCCAGGGTTGGCAGAGCATGGCAGGCTGCTGAGCAACGACACGGCTATACGCAGGGTCCCAGCGTGCCACAGGCTAGAGACCATTCCCAAAGTTTCTCCTTAAATACAGGAAGCAGATCACATCCCAAAGGTAGCTACTCAGCTGCCTGTGGTAGATCCCACCATGGAGTTGATTGCCAGTCTCATCATGGGGAATAACTACCACCAGCTGCCCAGACACTCAACCAGGCCCAGCCAAGTGGCACACAAACATAACTACCACAATATTATTATCTTTAAGCCTGATTTCCTCTCCTAGTAGGAAGCACCAAAAGGTGTACTGGTAGTACATGCTTAAAGCACTTGGCTACTAGCCAAACTATTAATAACAAACAATATTATTAACTGACAAGCATAGCAGGAGGAGCGCAGGTCAAACATAATCTCCTATTCTTATGATGTATATGATCTGAGGATTTGATCAATATTAAGGTGTTCTCCTTCTGAATATCTGTATGCATGACAATATGATTATGTTATCCTTCCTAGGAGGCCCTGTGTTGTTTCTACTGTTTTGAGAAAGCATGTAATCATGGCACTTTATTTACTCTCATCTGGTATGTCATCAAGGAACCCTGGTGGTACAGTCTTTAAGTTCTTGGCTGCTATGGCAAGATTGGCTAGTCCAACCCACTTTGTTGTTGTTGTTGTTGTTATGTGCCGTCGAGTCAAACCCGACTCATAGCGACCCCTCCTTGGGTTTCCGAGGCAGTATCACTACAGAAGTAGGATTGCCCAACCTTCCTTCCGAGGAGTGGCTGGTGGGTTTGAACCGCCAGCTGTCTGGTTAGCAAGCGTCTTAGCCACTATGCTACCAGTCCAACCCACTAGCTGCGCTAAAAAAAAGAAAACTAAACCCACTGCCATCGAGTTAATTCTGACTCACAGCGACCCCAACTGGTTTCCAAGGCTGTAAAACTTTACAGAAGTAGATTGCCTCATCTTCCTCCCATGAAGCAGCTTGGGGGTTTGAACCAGTGACCTTCTGGTTAGCAGCCAAATGCCTTGTCCACTACGCCACCAGCCGCTCTTAGGAAGAAAAATGTGGCAGTCTGCTTCTATAATGATTTACAGCCTTGGAAACCCTTTGAGGCAATTCTACTCTCTCTTATAGGGTCACTATAAGTTTGACTCAACTCAATGGCAGTGGGTTTAGTAGGAAGTGAGAACTGCACTACAGTGGAAAAGCACAGGATTTAGCACCAGAATGCCAATGTTCAAGAAATTTAAGTCTCTGTTCTGCTATATCATGTGTCCTTGGGTAAATCCCCAACCTCTCTAAATTTGCTTTTTTATCCAGAAAATGGAAATAAACACCACCTCACCAGGGTTATCTTAACAAAAAAAAGTAGGTAATATACAATAAAATGCTAATATTTTATTATTAATAACGAAGTTTAAAAAATTAAAGAATTTCATAGCTACATATCCACCTTCTGTATGCTAAATGATACACTCAAACATTAAGCCTCATCATTCCTCAAATTTTGTGTTTGTGTTTGCTGTTAAGACATACCCACGAACCCAAAACCCACTGCTTTCAAGTTGATTCTGACACACAGCGACCCTACAGGACAGAGTATACCTGGCCAAGGGTTCCAAGGCTGCAAATCTTTACAAAAGCAGAATGCCACATATTTCTCCTGCAGAGCAGCTGATGGGTTTGAACAGCCTATCTTTCAATTAGCAGCCAAGAGCTTAACCACTACACCACCAGGATTCCTTCATGATGTACCCGCCCCCCCAAAAAAAAATCCTCAAACCCCCTGCCATTGAGTCCATTCTGACTCACAGCAACCCCCATTGGGTTTCAAAAGCGGTAAATCATTACAGAAGCAGACTGACATCTTGCTTCCGTGGAGTGGCTGGTAGGTTTGAACCACCAACCTTCTGGTTAGCAGTCAGATGCCTCAGGCACTGTACTACCAGAGCTCCTTTCATGATGTACCACATGAGAGTAAATAAAGTACCATGATTATTTGTGTTCTCAAAACAGTGTTAATACCACATGGCCTCCAAGGAAAGAAAACGTAATCTTATGGTCATACATACAGATGTTCAGAAAGAGAACTATTACTTAAAACAACTCACCTCAATCCTCAGATCATATAAATCATATTTGATTATGTCTCACCTGAGCTATTATGCATGTCAATTAATAATAACATTTGTTATTAACTGTTTATATAGGAAATTGAGGCTGTTGTTGTTGTTAAAATGGAGGCAAATTATAGAAATATTCAGTCCTAGGCAGAAGATCATTTTGGCCTCTGTGTGAATAGACCACGAGGAAGCAAGAGTGTAAGCAAAGGACTATTTAGCTAACTAGCTACACAACATCCAGGTGAGAGATGATAGAGATTTGAACTTTCTGAACACCCAATCTGAAATAAGACCTCTATGAATCTCTCCCCTTACCAACCTAGATAGAAACAGCTAGGCAAATTACTTTGTTGTTATTGTTGTTGTTAGGTGCTGTTGTCTCTGATTCATAGCAACTATTGTTGTTGTTAGGTGCTGTTGTCTCTGATTCATAGCAACCCTACGCACAGCAGAACAAAACACTGCCCAGTTCCACACCAGCTCCACGATCCCTGCTATACTTGAGCCCATCGCCGCAGCCGCTGTATCAATCCATCTCGTTGAGGGCGTTCCCCTTTTTCACTGACTCTCCACCTTACCAAGCATGATATCCTTCTCCAGGGAATGGTTCCTTCTGGCAACACGACCAAAGTAGGTGAGATGAAGTCTGGCCATTCTCGCTTCCAAGGAGCATTCTGGCTGCACTTCCTCCAGGACAGATTTATTAGTTTTTTAGCAGTCCACAGTACTTTCAGCATTCTTCACCAGCACCACAT